AGACAGCAAAAGTAGAAGATAAGGTACACAATGGGCTATCTGTGCTCTGCCCACCACGGGTATCGAAACCCGGTTTCTAGCGTTGTAGCCCTTTTGCTGATACATCTTTAGCAACTTTCAAAATTAACTCCCACTACATATCCTGGTACCGTTAGCAACTTAAACTACTGTTGACAAAAGCTCATAGGTTAAGACACTGTATACAGTTAGCTTCATTAATTGGTATCGCCCCCTGGTGGCACAGCGTTATGTATGCAGACTTACAACGGTAGAAACCGAGTTTCAATACCCGCGGTGGGCAGAGCACCGATAGCCCATTGTGTAGCTTTGTGCTTAACTTCAAACAAACAATCGAAATTTGTATAAGAAATATTAAAATATTATAGTCAATTGTTATATTTTTTATGACCGACTGGGCATAAATATGCAAAATCTTGTATAGATATTCGGAGCTTTGAAAGCTCAAAAAGCTTTTAAAAAAAAGAAATCTAACGACTTGTAACCTGAAAACACTGCAAGCTAAATGGTACCAAGAGCATTCTATAATTCAAAATCTTCTAGGCTTACATGAATGAAAAGTGCCACACAAAAACACTCGTAAAATATAAATAAATTCTGCATTTTCTACCAAATAGTTGTATTCCCTATAATTTAATGTCTAACAATGGTACGTTTGTTTGTTTGGAATTAAGCACAAAGCGCCAACTTCATCGCAATGACTTTTGAATCGGATAGTTATTTTTTCTCAACCACATCCTTTACTTTGCGAATGAGGACAATGAGGATCTGGTAGGGGTATGACTTAAGAAGCTGCTGCTGTGTAAGCTCTGCCTTTGTAGATTTTCCGCTTCCTCGAACATCCCTGGTGGCTCAGCGGTAAGACTTATAACGCAAAAACCTGGTTTCGATTCCCGTGGTAAGAATATCACAGAAAGCCCATTGTATAGCTTTGTGCTTAACTATAAACAAACAAAATGTTATTACGAACAAAGCTACACAATGAGTTATCTGCGTTGTGCCCATCGTGGGTATCGAAACTCGATTTATAGCTTTATAAGCCCTCAGTTTTACAGTTAAGCTGAACATGTCATCAGTTGAGCCACGACTTTCCTCTCCGATAACACTCCCACAAACCGATGAAAGAAAATGCGAGTAAATCTCGGCAATGTCTGAATTGTAAATAAGTAACTACCAATGTTAACATATAATACGATAAGTAGCTTTTAGTTATAATCGGTTATTTAAGACTGTACTAAATGCCACTAGGAGAAAGGCAAATTACACAGTGATAACAATAAGTCGTATACGACAGTTCATCATTTTCAGTTGTTTATTTATAGATATTCCATTTTCATTAAGTAAAGAGTTTGGAAGGTTCCAAAATTCCGAAAATTGTTATTGAAATGGCGTAGCTCTGTATTTAAAGTGACAGTTATAAATCCGTCAAGTTAAATAAGTTTAAGTTTAATTAGTGTATTTTTCAATTACTTCATTGGCGTTTTCGAAGGTATGGTGTATATATAAAAAACAACAAAAAACTTTTCATATATCTGAGCCTAGGATATTTAAAAGCCCCCCCTGTGGGACAAGGGTAAGTCTACGAATTTACAACTCTAAAATCAGGGGTTCGTTCTCCCTTGATGGACACAGCAGATAGTCCGATGTGGCTTTTCTATAAAACACACACATACACATAAAGACATGTGGTCAAACTGGTACAAGCTTCTATTGGATGATCATTGTATGTGCTTACGATCTTTCAACACCAACACCGACATGAAAGGAGGATTGACAAGATTAGTGACCCAAAATTAATTTCAGAGGTTATATTCCAGCAGTATTTCATGGAAATACATAAAAAAAATATTTTTTACACCAGTTTCAGGTAAATGGGATCACGAAACACAAAATGCAGACGTCTACACTTTGTCCAAAGAGGAAGGTGCTGTGTGCAAAATTATTTTTGCAATGCAGACAAGATGATTATGAAAAGTGACTTTAACATGTTTTAACACTCTAACTATAAAGTGTTTTTATGTAGACTATGGATGTATTTGAATATTTTTTGTTTTTGTTTGTTT